ATTTCATGTCACAAGAGTTAGAACAGAGGCGCTCCAGCAACAGTGCTTTCACTGGTCTAACAATTTCATCAGAACCCACAGTTGTTCTCTTTTTGTTTGTCCTCAGCGTGCACACCTCCAGGCTGACCCCTCACGGTCACAGGATGGCTGCCACAGCTCCAAGAAATCACACCTAAACTCACCAGTGTCGAGTGGAGGAGAGGCCACCTTCCTTCCACTAGCTCTTCTTAGGAACGAAGGAGCCTTCCTCCAAAGAACCCTAAGCAGACTTCCTCTCATGGCTCATTGGCCACAACTGGGTCATATGACACCCCTCTGTCTCTGGCAAGGATGAGGAGATCCCCATAACTGGCTTAGACGATTAACCCTGGAGCTAGGGCAGAAGCACGTGAGGTAAAGTGGCCACCAGAACAGAACTGGGACTCTGCGAACAAGGGTGGACACCCTCGCATCCTCCGGCACAAGGACATCACTGCTTCCTGCTTCCTCACCTGCCTGTGGCCCTTCATTCCTGCCATCTCAGGCCTATTCCTTCTCGAGGTGGCTGTGCACCCATGAGGGCCTTCTCGGGAGTCCTTTTGTTTAAGTAGCCAGAGTCATTTTCTGTTGCTTGCGCCAAGAACACTCTCTCTTCCTCACGCTTCAGCTAAGTAGCCACCCAGCTCTGTTCATCCCACTCGCCTGAATATTTCTCAGGTCTTTTCACCTCTCTCAATTCTTTTTTTTTTTTTTTGTTTTGTTTTTTGCTTCTTATTCTTCGATTTTGGAGAGTAATACCTCTCTCAATTCTTACTGCCTCTCTTTACTTCCAGAAAATTCAAGGGTGGTACAGCTGCGGAAACTAATTTGAGAGCCTGTAATGAACGTCTCATCCTTTCCCCTGTTTGAGCATTCATTTTCCCTTCTTCTAGTAATGACCCCTGAGGTTTCTTTGGGAATCACCTATCCCTTCCCGCCATCAATATTCATAAAATAAAGGTTACCCCATCCCTTGGCTTGAGGGTGAGTGGGCATGTGACCAGAACCTGGCCAATCAGAATACCACCTCTCTTTGTCCTCAGTGATTGTTCAAAAATGAACACCGACCCAAGTCAAACCAATGAGAAGGCAGCCCCAGAGATTTTTGCTGGCATCATCAAACTAAAGGCCTCTCTCTCTCTCTCTCCTTCTTCCTCTTTCTTCTCTTCTTCTTCCTCTCCCCCTTTCTTAGAGACAGGGGTCTAGCTCTGTATTTTTGTTAGTGGTGGGTTCTCCCTCTTGCTCAGGATGGTCTTGCACTCCTGGCCTCAAATGATCCTCCTGCCCTGGCTCCCGAAGTGGGAGGTTACAGGTGTGAGCCTCTGTGCCTAAGGCTTTCTCTTTCCATAAAGGTTGCTAATTCTAGCAAATGAGCGCTGGGGCTTCTGGCACTTCATCCTTAACAGAGAGGGGCACTCACCTCCCTCTCTTCAGAGGGAGAACCTGCCTGAGAACAAAGACAGCACAGACTGCAAGCAAGCCAGGTGTAGGAAGGACAGATTTTTGAATGATACCTTTGGGGATCGGACCCGAGAGCAACCTCAATCTCCTGGGCTCAAGCAATCCTCCTGCCTCAGCCTCCTGGGTAGCTGAGACTACAGGCATGTGCCACCATGCCCCACTAATTTTTTCTGTATATTTTTAGTTGGCCAATTAATTTCTTTCTATTTTTAGTAGAGACGGGGTCTCACTGTTGCTCAGGCTGGTTTTGAACTCCTGACCTTGAGCAATCCGCCCACCTCAGTCTCCCAGAGTGCTAGGTTGAGCATTTCTTATTTTGCTTAAATGCAATGATTTGTAGGACAAAGTCTTAGAACTGCATATCTCAGATGGCTGGTGGCAGATTTCCTGCTTAAAAGAGATCACTTTGGAGGCCAAGCACAGTGGGTACATCTATAGTCCCAGCAACTCAGGAAGCTGAGGCAGCAGGATTGCTTTAGTTCAGGAGGTCAAGGCCAGCCTGGGCAATATACCAAGACCCTGTCCCTTAAAAGAAAAAAAAAATCACTTTGGCTATAGGCGGAGAATGGTTTGAAGAACCAAAACCTGAGAGTAAGTAACGCCTTCCTCTCTTGACCCCTTGCCAAGTGCCAAGTCCTATTCATTCCAGTTCCACAGGGCACCATCATTCCTCTCTCTAATGGTTCCTCCTAAAAGGTCTCCCACCTGCCTTACGATACTTGGCTGCAAACAGCAAAGCCAATTCTGGGTAACTTCGTAGATAAGGAACTGATTGGACAGTTTCTGGGGTGCTTGCTGAATTCCCCTCCCCAGGAAGGACCTGGCTTTGACCGCCTCCCTTCCCCCACCTCCACATGAATTCTAAATGACCCCCCAGTGTCTAGTGTTGTAGTGTTGATCACTTGCTCCAGATTCAAAGACCTGGTTGGAAACACTGGAATCATGCTCCAGCTACCAGACAACTGGGAGATGGAATTCTGCCTCCCCTCTTTGATTTCCTTAGTGGAGGGCAGAGCCTGCCTCTGTAGCTCATAGGAAGAAAGTTGGAGGTTTGGCATTGCTCGACCTGTGCCCCGACCAGATTGTCCCTCCCACATGGCATAAGTTAGGGTGCTTCCAAAAACCAGGCTTACACAGGAGGGGAATTCAAATTCATCATTTCATGTCACAAGAGGTTAGAACAGAGGGCTCCAGAAACAGTGCTTTCACTGGTCTAACAATTTCATCAAGAACCCAAGTTGTTTCTCTTCTTGTTTGTCCTCAGCGTGCACACCCCCAGGCTGACCCCTCACGGTCACAGGATGGCTGCCACAGCTCCAAGAAATCACACCTAAACTCACCAGTGATCGAGTGGAGGAGAGGCACCTTCCCTTCCACTAGCTCCTTCTTAGGAACGAAGGAGCCTTCCTCAAAGAACCCTAAGCAGACTTCCTCTCATGGCTCATTGGCCACAACTGGGTCATATGACACCCCTCTGTCTCTGGCAAAGGATGAGGAGATCCCCCCATAACTGGCTTAGACGATTAACCCTGGAGCTAGGG